GGAGGATTTGGAAATAGCTTCCTACTTCCCACCTTTCTAACTTCTCTTGACTCCCCTGTTTCTGCCATTGCACACCATCTTTTCCACTTGGTTATGGCCTACGTTTCAAGACAACTCCAATATAGGGGCATATAATCAGCAAGAAGCACAGACATGCCCCACACAAAGGAGAAACAAACTTGCACAGGCCTCTTAAAAAAAATACAGCATAATTAAAAAAAAAATACTGATCCACACGATAAACACACCTACATAAAGTATTTAGATGCTTTCAAATAGCACTCATTTAAGATTTTTAAATTGAGTGATTTCAGAACTTACTGGAAAATAAGAATGTTTAAAATCAATTGTTATTTAGACCTCACATTGACCATAAAGATGGAGACAAGTGATTTAAGTCCACCTCCAGAGCTCCCCATGGACATACTTCTTGGTTCTGAGAAGGCAGGAATGCATGAGTTTCTTCAGGAACATTCACAGGCACAGGAAATGACTATTGACATAATCTTTAAGCCTAATAATTAAGATTATTCTTCAGTTTATAATTTAAAAGCTTCTGACAGCTGAATGCTATGATACAATTTATAATGAAAGAGTTTGAATGATTGAGGTATATTTCACTGAGCTGGTTTCTCTTATGAGTTGAGACTAAGACTTGTATAAACATAGGAAGGGAAGCCCTTCCCGGGTTTATGTAGTTAGGCAAGAATACTTAATATCCCACATTCCCAACTGTGCTGCAGTACCATTTGTGCTGTACTTAAAGTTTATAGAATGCAAATCTATAGGATTTAAGGGGCATTTTTTTTCCAGTAAACAATCTTATCCTGCTACCAGTATGTAACAGAAATACATATTAATTTCTTTGAGATATACAATTTGATATTTCCCTAGTGTTCCTTCTAAAAATGGGAATCTTAGCTTTTGGATATTTTTAAAGTTACAAGAAGAACAAAAACAAAACTAAAAAAAACAAAAGTGGACCATGGAGAAAGAGAACAATAGTACACTAACAGTTGTAAGTCATTTGGGAAACTGTAGATAATCATATCCTCCAGCAATGTTTAAAAAAAAAAAGAGAATTTGGGGTACCTGGGTGCTGCAGTGGGTTAAGTGTCCAACTCTTGGTTTCAGGCTCAGGTCATGATCTCAGGATCCTGGTATCAAGCCCCCTGTCGGGCTCTGCGCTCACTGGGAGTGTGCTTGGGATTTTCTCACTCTCCCTCTGACCCTCCCTTTTGCTCTTTCTGTCTCAAATAAATAAATCTTAAAAAAAAAAAGAAGAAGAAGAGACAATTTGTTACCATATTAAAGCAGAATCTGGGTGCCTGGGTGTCTGAGTGGGTTAGGCCTCTCTGCCTTCGGCTCAGGTCATGATCTCAGGGTCCTAGGATCGAGCCCCTAATCGGGCTCTCTGCTCAGTGGGGAGGTGGGGAGCCTGCTCCCCCGCCGTCCCCCATCTACCTCTCTGACTACTTGTGATCTTTCTCTGTCAAATAAATAAACAAAAATAAAATCTTTAAAAAAATAAAATAGAATCTGCCAAGGCTTGAAGAATCCAAGTTCATATCTTTTCAAATAAAATACATGATTGATATAATCTGCAATAACCTATACTTGGTTAAGAAAGCATTTGGATTAAGCCATTCTGTCAAAGTAAGATATCTATTATATAAACTTGGATCAGAAATAATCTGTTTGATTTATAATTTCTTCTCCTTACCAGCTAAGAATACAGTTTTATGTGAAGCCAACAAGCAACTTGTCTTATAATTACACCAAGTACAATTCATGTGTTGATTTTTAAGGGAATCATGTAAGCCACAGCAGAAATGTTTTGTCTATATTGGCTTCTTTCCTCAGAATGGCACTATGATACCCCAAGGCTTAAATAAAAAGATTAAATGATGTGCTGGAAAATATATATAGAACTACCTCACTCCACTAAAAGAGAGAGAGAGATCTTACTAGAGTCTTAATAGAGTCTGAATACTTTCTCTTTTCTTGATAATAACTGGTTAGTTGCTTTCATGAATATAAAATGAGGACCTGTGAGAGAAAGAGAAATTATTGAATAATTTAACCTAAAATACAATTTCAACTAAAATAATGACTGGGTATTTCAGTAAGGTCAATTAGCATTTATTTTCTTTTTGCACAATTTCTTCTAAGTTTATATAAAGTCTCCATGAATAGATAAGAAAACCACTGTTTTGGGTATCTATAACTGCAGATTAAAGTAGTTGGGCCAAATAAGGCTTATAAAAATGCAGAACCAATCTTTATTACCAGGTAATGTGTGAATAGATTTCCCCACCCTTACTCTATATCCTAAACACCCTCTTCCATTGCAGGACTTTTATTTTCCACATAATCCCTTCCTTATTAAGTTTTAATTTGTAAAACAGACTCTCTCTCTCTCTCTATATATATATATATATACACATACACACACACACACATATATATATATAGTCTGTTTTACAAATTAAAACTTAATATATATACTTAATATATGTTATATGCACTTAATACATATACCTTTAATATAATTATTGATGCATAATCTACATATAATAAACTGCACTGTATTTTTAAAATCAGAAAAGGAAACAATATTTTTAAAGTCTGTTGGAATTGGTTATACTTCTAAAAAGGCACTTCCCTATCTAAAATTTTCACTATAGAAGAATTTAAATGTGTGTCATATTGCTAAGAGCTGAAAGAAATGACAGATATTTAGGATTTCCCTTGCAGATTATGGGATAATACTGTGACCCAAATATACCACCCCTCCCAGTTCTAATATATACTCTATTAAGGGGAGCACCGTGAAGAAGCTAATGCCTAATAGTTATCCATCTTCTAGAACTATTTCAAATGTACCTTAAGTACCTGAAGTATTTGTAAAATATCCCCAGAGACAGATGCAAATTTAACAGACTAAATTAATTTTCAAATTAAAGCTTTATTTTAGTAATACCTTTATCCTGAACGTGCACCATTAATTTAAACAGCATGCTCCTTTGAACCTTTGGGTGAAAATATGCAATTTCTCCCTTGAGATTTTAAAAGCTACCAAAAAGTGTTAACATATTTAGCAATTTAATGAGATATTATGAAAACGTATGACAGAAATATACTTCTTTGGCATTAAAACATTTCTTTTCTGTAAGTGGACAAGAAGAAATAAAAAGTAACACTGCCAAAGGCAAAGCTTAACTCTAACAGGATGATTTAGGGAAGTCTGGCAATTTAACAGAAGTCATAATTTCCCCCCAATTAAATTCTTTAACAATGTAGCCAAATAGATTACTACTAGCAAGAAAACCATTTCTGAAACTATTGCTATTAAATGTAGTATTTAGAGTTCAGTTTCAGGTAATTTTAAAGAACTTTGATTTCATGTTTTAAGATAAAAGATTAGTCATAGCACTCTTTATGGCAATTACTTATAATAGTGAATGGCTGGATTCATACCTCATTTTCCATTTTATTCCTTTTGATGGTATATGAGTGGGTAAATATATTCACAAATATTTAAATATACAAACATTTTTGCTACATATTAATATGTAGAAAATTTTTCATTGTATGCCTTCTTTTTTTAAAGACATGCTTTGGTCACATTACTAGGAGTATTCACATTAAAAATCATAAAAATTACAGGCTATCAGATATGAACCAAAATATGATAATGTTCAGCTGAATCAACTGAGTGATGGTTTTTGCCTTCCAATGGTCTTTTACCTCATTTCACTGCCAAAAACTGAAAGAACACTGCAGTGAGGAGAAAAATAAAATGATGGTTCAACAGCTGTATTAATCAGTTCAACCCAGTCCATTAATATATTTTCCTACTTGCTAATCTTGGATCAAATTCAGCTTCTTTAACCCTAGGTCATTGAGAATTAAATGAACTTTACAGGAAAGAATAGTAAAGACTGAGGAGAAAGAGAAGAAAAGGAGTTAAAGATATGACAAGAGACCTGTTTTGAGATTCAAATTGGTCCCTGACAGACATTTCTACTTCATGGCTCTGACCCCCAAGCTCCTGTTGAAAACAAAAACAGGCGCAGTCAGGCCGAACAGCTGCTGCCTGGACACCTGGTGTGCAGTGTCGGGGGAGAGGTCCACAGTAGAGGACCTTCCTGATTGTACGTTCACATCAGGGCAGATTCAGGGGGGATATGCTGTGGCCTGATAGAGCTCAGGGTAGTCCCTGGGTGTCCTCAGACCCCCTCAAGGAGCAGATCAGGGCCAGAATTCCCAAATCAGACAGGTTTTCTCCTGTTTCATAATGGCCAAGTAGGTAGATTGTGAGCAGCAACTGACAGGGGGAGAAGGAGCGTTGGCAAAGCTGAGATCATGACCATGAGGGGTTGACTCTCTGGAGGGGGCAGCAGCCGCCCCTGCTCATCTAGTCCAGGACCTGAAAGAGGTGGCGGGGATATGGAGGGCCCAGGGAGGAGAATGAGGAGCACTGTTGCTCAGTGACACTCATCTGCTCTTCACACCAGGCTGCAGGGATTCTCAAAGCCTTCCAAAAATTGGAAACGTAATACGCTATTTCATAGTCATCCAGGAAGGTGGCCAAACCCTGTCTAATACAGCAAACTCTTCCAGTACTCCAAACAGGTTTTCTAAGAGGGAACAATAACTAGTTGTAGAAGTACTGCAACTTCATAATACCTCAACAATCTTCTCATACATCTTTAGCTGAAACTGAATAAATGATCTCACACCTTCCAATAGAAATGGCTTCTCAGACCAACTTAAGCACAGACTGGTTTTCACAAAAATGGAATATTGGTGTCTTTATTTTTAACTGTCAAGACTATTGATAGCTATCAGCTTTTCAGGGTGTAATAGATACCCTATAGAAAATGTGTACATTCTTTGGATATATATACACGATTCTTTGATTTTTGTATCTTTCTTTTTTCCAGTAGTTTTTCTTGCATTATACAGTAATGACTATCTCTCACAATGGATAGATAAGCTGTGTTTTATGCAAGATTGATGATTTCCTTCCACATTTATTTAGATTAGACAGATAAACCGGAACTTCCCACTATGGATTCACATGTAAACTTTCAGGCATGATGTTTGTTATGTCTGATGTAATAAATACAGAATGATTTCCTATTATTTAAAAACAATGGATGCCACTTTCTATCAGCATCCATCAGGGAAAAGCCTAAGGCTGTGAGTCTGTTGTAGTACTGCCACGATTTGCTTTTTCTCCAGATCCAGAATGCTTCAGAAACTGACCAGTAGCACCAATGTATAATCTTGATCGCATGGGCCATTTCTGAAAAAGAATATTTAAACAAGAATCCAAAAGTTACTATCTGAAACAGCTGTCTTTACTAGTAAAATTAAAAATTCCAAATGCCTCAAAGCAAATGCAGTATCATGAAGCTAGCAACAATTGTAATTGTGAAGTCTAAGGAATGACATAAGAAATGTTTTTTAATGCTAACAATAAAAGTAAAAATGTACCAAGACTTTGATTATAACTGTATAAAATAATATGGATGCAAATGGACAAGAACTTCAAGAAATCATAGAGAATGAATATAGTTAAGTGAAACAAAATATATCAACAGTATTTTAGTTTAAAACTAAATATAAAATAAAATTGAGCCAAAAAGAAGATCCCTGGCTTTAAAGATATTTTGAGAAGTTATACATGATAAATATATGTTCCCACTTATCAAAGAACTATAATGAGAAGTGAGTAATTCAACTATGTACACATTTTATCTAGGGGCTCCTGGTGGCTCAGTTGATTAAGCAACCAACTCTTGGTTTCTGCTCAGGTAGTGATCTCAGGGTCCTGGGAATGAGCCCCACGTTGGGCTCTGTGCCCCTCCCCCTCTGCTCTCTCTCAAATAAGTAAATAAAAATCTTGAAAAAAAATTTTATCTAGCAAAAGTAGCACCTCGAAGTTGCAAATGTTATAATGTTTGGCGTTATATAGATAAAACATCCAAAATAAATGTCTGGAGGCAGCGGCATCATACAGCATTAACCTTTCAGTAATTAGCATATTTGTATTCTGATTATGAATGTTCTAATTTCACTCTAAAAAATGGATAACCTTTCAAAAATAATATAGCTTGTTACCAAATAGACATGGTGATGAAGAAACATATTACATAAGTAGTACTTTCAGATATTTTATTTTGAGGGGGGGTGTCTGATAGTCAGTTAGTTCTAAGGTCTGTGAAATACTAGTCAGAGAACTGCTACTTTTATACAAAGAGAAGTCTTTAGACTAATAAAGTGCAGCTCCCAAAGGTCCACTGGATCCCACATTCTCCAGAGAGTAAATGCTGCAGCAAGTAGCAAGCTGTTTTTATCACTTAAACATTCACAGGCCCACTGCTGGTTACACAGCACAATGAAATGTTCTGAAATGCCGGACAGATAACCTGCAGTGCTCAAATAGAGATACAATTATTAACAAGGTAAAGACCCTAAGAACTTCAGATTCTTAACTCAAGCATCATATTAAAATTACGTGGGGAACTTTAAAAATACTGATGGCCATGTCACACACCAGATCAATTACATTGGAATGGACCTTTTTGCAGAAGTTGAGTATAAGGTAGAGTCAGATTATTACTTCCGAGTACAGTATTATCACCTAAACTGGCATTCCAGATGTAAAATGTAGCATTAAGGGATAGTAAGTAGGCATGTGATACCATCCAGGAAACTTCTGTTCCTAACAACCAACAAGAGTCCCAGTTTTATGCCTCCAGATATAATAAGTAAATTTGCTCTCTTGCAGTTTATTTTAGAGTCTTTTATTTTAGAATCCTAGATTCTGACTGGAAATCTATACTTTAAACACAGATAAAGTATAAAATTTATGTTACTTAGAATTTAAAATGATCTACTTCTGTATAATCTTCCTACAAATAACCTTGTACTTTACATTTGATGTAGTAATAACACCGACACTGAGCTACTTATTTTTGCATCCAGTTCAGGTTTTTGTTTTTTTTTAATGCACAGATGTGCATTCTTTTATATTCCGGGGGTATCACTGGTCCTGTCCTTGGGTTCTTGCCATGGGCTGATAACCTCAGGGGTTTTAGATACTGGTCTGGGGTTTTTCTGATCTGTAAGGAGCTGACATTGTTAGGTCAGATTCGAGTCCTGCATTATACTGAAGAACGTTGTGCTATAATGCTATGGACTGAATGTTTGTGTTGTGTCCCCCCGCCCCCCAACCAAATTCATACGCTGATGCTCTAACTCCCAACGTGATGGTATTTGTGGAAGTAATTCTGGTTACATGAGGTTAAAAGGGTGGGTTCCTCATGGTGGATGGATTAGTGGTCTTTTTTTTTTTTTTTTTTTAAGATTTTACTTATTTGAGAGAGAGATTGAGAGAGGATGAATTTTGGGAGGGGCAGAGGAAGAAGCCAACTCTGCAGAACAGGGAACCTGACAACCTGGGCAAGAACCCTGGGATCATGACCTGAGTGGGAGACAGTTGCTTAATCAACTGAGCCACCCAGGCATCCAGATTAGTGGTCTTTTAAGAAGAGAAAGCTTCTTTTTTCCTGAGAAAGAGGGAGGCTGACCAACTGCAAGATAGGCAGAGAACTCTCACCAGGAATTGAGTTGGCCAGCACCTTGATCCTAGACTTTCCAGACTCCAGAATTGTGAGAGAACAAATTTCTGTTCTTTAAGCCTTCCGGTCTATGGTATTTTGTTATTGCAGCCCAAGTGGACTAATACTTGTAGTTAATAGTGTAGAGCTAACTAAAATAATTTCAAGTGTAGAATTTTTGGCATATTATAAACCTGTACTTCTCAGTCTTTTAAATTCCTGCCTCGTATTCATGAGCATAAAAATCTCATGCTTAAACTTTGGGTATGATTTGAATATTCCATATACATTAAATATATTTAAAAGCAAATAAAATAAACATTCTACTGAATGCTCTCTGGTATTTCTGATATGTGCTACCTGGGTGCTACTGTACTGAGAATTACCCAAAATCATGCAACCGAGTGTAGAGATAAACGAAGGCATCTGTGTTCCTTGGTGGGACATAAGTAATTAATGAAGCAATCTTAAAAATGTATACTTGGATTTTTGGGATGCCTAGCTGGCTCAATGGGAGGTGTGTGTGACTCCTGATTTAACAGTCATGAGTCTGAGCCCCACATTGGGTGTAGAGATTACTAAAAAATAAAATAAACTTTAAAAAATGTGTATGTGAATTTTTGCCTCATTTTTCATGAACTTAATAATAAAACTTGGGGCTCCTGGGTGGCTCAGTGGGTTAAGCCTCTGCCTTCGGCTCAGGTCATGGTCTCAGGTCCTGGGATGGAGCCCCTCTTCTCCAGCCCCGCATTGCGTCAGGCTCTCTGCTCAGTGGGGAGCCTGCTTCCTCTCTCTCTCCACCTGCCTCTCTGCCTACTTATGCTCTCTCTCTCTGTGTCAAATAAATACATAAAATCTTAAAAAAAAAAAAAAAAACCCAAAACTTTATTTTAAGAACTTTGTACTTCGAGGGGCACCTGGGTGGCTCAGTGGGTTAAAGCCTCTGCCTTCAGCTCAGGTCATGATCCCAGGACCCTGTGATCAAGCCCCATGGGGCTCTCTGCTCAGCGGGGAGCCTGCTTCCCTTCCTCTCTCTCTGCCTGCCTCTCTGCCTACTTGTGATCTCTGTCAAATAAATAAATAAAATCTTTAAAAAAAAATTATAAGAACTTTGTACTTCGATTTTCCAAAAGGCTTCTAATGATTTTATTCAACTTAATTTAACGTACACACGTAGTTTTAAGAGTCAGGAATAAAATGTAAGTAAAATGTTGGTTAGGCTGCATGTCAGTTTCATGCCAAAAAAGCCAGTTGACTGTTTTACATATCACCTTTCAATGGTATGTCTTAACATTGTGTAGATTAACACAGTCCTGATCTCTATTTTACCTAATAAAATTTATTAAAAACCATGTTATTTCATGTTGCTTAGAACAATCTAGCAAACTCACAGATTAACCAAACTGAACCTGAAAATCTTAAAAACGCACTCTTGGATTCTGGTGTTAAATGATCCCAAAATAACAAACTTTGTATTTATTTTTAAAATTGTTGTATATGTATATTATCAACAGTGAATCTCCAAGGATAATGCAATTAACAAAGTCATCTGTGCTTTTCTCCCAGTATAAGAATCTGAAATATATTCCTATTCTCTTGAAGGATCACTGCCCTTTGGTACTCTGATGCTAATCAAATTGCTCACATCCCAGAGGGATAAAAACTGCTGTTTTAGGCTATGCCCCAGGATCCCAGTCACGTAAACCTTTCAGCTTGATTTTAGGTACTCTTAATGTAAATTCCCCAAAATGCTAAATCCCAATACAGATAATAAGGACTGATGACTCCATGTTATGGCCTTGAAATATTTGTTAACAGATCTTTAATCATCAAAGACATAGTAATACTATGTTGTAAGGCAGAAAAAATAAAGTCATCTCAGAACACTTTTTAACTATGGGTTACGACACCCTTAGTTAACTAAAAATTAGTACGATCAGAATATTTTTATTTTTTTTGCATTAGATTAATCAAAGACTTAATACTTAAGCATTTGGTAATATCCATAAAATACTGTGTTACAGGTGGTTTCAATTAACGTGTATGAAATCTCTTTCCTCCAAAATTCCAAAAGCACATGGTTATAGGTCACTTATGGTACACAGAACATTATCCCTCACAGTACCGTTATTTTATTTTTGTCTTTGTCTCTATTATATATTCATTTAGGGCAGGGATTGAGTCTTACTCTTAATTGTATCCACTCTCCTAACTGTGCTTTGCACACAGTAGTTGCTCATTTTAAAACAGACTAGTCACGTGTTCAACCATCAATTTCATTTTAAAGAGGAAATCCTTGGCCTTGTTTCATTATCCCTAGAATTGTCTTTTAAAATCAAAACGACTGATTTGAGGGCAAATGAAATTTGATTTTTCTTAAGAGTTATAAAACTACAAAAACACTTGGTGCCTGAATCAAATACAGAAACCAAAAAACTCCTGTTAAGCTTACTGTTAGAAGAAAATTATTAACAATATTTATTCAAAAAGATACTATAAGAAACAAAAGTGAAAAAAAATTTGATTTCTTATCTGAATTGTATCTCCCAGAGAGGCATTTAATAGATGCATTATGTAGTAAAGTCTATTTAATGTTAAACTTTTTTAGAGTATATGGGAAATGTCGAGTTAAAAGAAATCTAATATTAATGATATACTTGAAAATCAATCTAATGCAGACTATAGAGCAAAACCCCTAATAAGTAATGACTTTTCAGGGGAGATTATATTATACAGCACATGAATATAATGAGGTCTATCATAATTATAAACACGATATTTCAAATTTCTATATTCAAAATAGTTTGAGTCTATCATCATGCTGATTATATTTGCAAAGTAAACTGTTAAGCATCACCACATTTTTAATTTCGGTTAATATTAGAGAGTGTGCTTTACTACATTTCAATGATAGTTATTCAATAATTTATGGAACATGGATATGCTTAAGGCTAAGTCCTAATTTTGTATTTGTGTGTGTGGTAAAATATTTCAGAATGGTAGAAACAAAAATTTGAAAATTTAGATTTAGAAAATATAGGGAAGATAATGCATTTTGAACAGAGAGCCAGGTGAATGCTGGATTTTGAAACCATCGAATCTAGGACAATGCAGAGCCTAAGCACTGCAATATAGATAATAAATCATAACTTTATACACCATGCTAAATGAAACCCTGACCATTTTACCTACATGTAATGTAAAAAATTTTACAAAATGGATTCTAGGGGCTAATTTTGCACATTACAGAATTTTAACATAGTATTGAATCAGCTTAACATACCCCAATCTATTGTGAAATTTACATAAATACATCATAGTTTTTCTAACATTCTAGGTAACTGCCTAATCCATGATAATTAACCTTTATTAAAACGGACTGAAAATTTACTCCACAGGATGGCAGAACCGTCTCACTTTGTTCTTACCAGTTTTACAAAAAAAAAATCTCAACATGGTTTCCTGGATTATTTAAGGGGCGGTAATTCCTTCACCCCCTGTAATTCGTGAAACTTTTCAACCATCTGATAAAAACCACGACTGAAATGTAATTATGTAAATTAAACCCCTCAAAGGCTCGTAAATGTAAATCTGATAATAAAAATCCCCAGAACTTGCCAAATACCCCACCAGACATTCCCAAGAAATTTCTCACTTAGGAAAGGATGCATCCTGTAAGTGGAATAAGACACCCCTACGACCCAAGCCACTTTGGGTTTAAATCCACTACCTGTGAACAGTTACAGAGTAGCATTTTGCAGTGAGGACCTGGCTACCGGTGCCTTTGCGGGCCAAGGTCACTCTCCGGATCTGTTCCCCGTCTCACCCCGCTCCGCGGCGTCTGCCCGGGACAGAGGGCTATAAACTCTCTGGCCGACCCAGACAGAGGGTTAATGTGCCCCGCTCCCTGACCCAGCGCAGGCCGCCGTGCCTGCCTACCTTGACAGGGTGCAGGTAGCCGTCGCCGCGCAGGGCGCCTAGCCCAGCATCCGCCGGCGCCTCGGCGTCGTCCTGCAGGCTTCGGGTGAGATGAGCAATGTAGGTAGTGGCCAGCAGCAGCACGTCCAGCTTGGACAGCTTGGTGTCCGGCGGCACCGACGGCAGCGTGCGCTGCAGCTCCAGGAAGGCGTGCCGCAGGGTCTGCACGCGGCTTCGCTCCCGCGCGGCGTTCGCCGCAGCCGGCCTCCCGCCCCCCGGGCGGGCGCTGCCTCCCAGGCCCGCGGGTCCTGGCCCTGCCCTGCCCGGACTCGAGTCGTGGGTGGCGGCCACCGGGGGCGCGGTCTCGTTGCTAGCGATCCGGGAGCTGCCCGCCGGGCCGTCGCGGTCCATGGCGGCTTCCCGCGCTGCGTGCCCTGCAAAGGACCCAAGGCGCGGTGAGGACCGGCGCGGATCCGGGCTTAACCAGGGGAACCGCAGGCCTCTCGCTTCAACTGCACGCGGGGCCGGACCATCGACGTGGCTCGGGGCGTTCTCAGAGATGAGGTCGTTTTGTCTGGGGCGTGTTTACCTCCCGGCGCCTTGGGAGAGTTGTGGGGCCTGACAGTTCCTGGGCTTAGAAGGCTCAGGAGGGGCATGGTGCCGGCTTTACTTATCACAGACAAATTTAAGTGAAAGGGCTATTCTACCGAGGAGGGGAGATCTCGGAAGCACAGCTCCGGTTCGGAACTTGTTGGCACTTCTAACCAGTATGCATCAGTCCCAAAGAGAGATGGGCAGGTCATTCTCTCCGGGCGCAGCGGGAACCCCTGGCCTCGCCAGGGTCCTCAGTGCCCACCCGGGCAGCCCTCGCACCATTCCTTACCGAGGCCAGTGATCCCGGGGGTGACGGCGGGAGCTCATTCTAATTTCTGCGGGAGGAGAGGGCATCCCTGACCTCACCTTGGACTAAGGCACCCGCTGTCCCAACGAACCTGGGGACCAAGCGGCGCGGCTGGGGTCGGACCGAGGTCCTCACCTTTCCTGGAGCGGCGGTGCAGGGCTCCGCTCCGCTGCGCTAGCGGGCCAAGAGCGTCGAGCTGGGTCTGAGTGGCCAGGGCCGCACAGGTCACTCCATCCTCGGCCAGCCGAAGTCGACAGCTGCTTCTAGGCCCTGCGGGGCGCGCCTTTTAGGCGGGCAGCCCCGTGGCCAGGCGTGTGTGGTCAAGACTCTATGTAGGGCTGGGACAGCAGCACCCGCCGGGGTCCGCGCCCACCTGAGGGGCTTTGCCAGGGGCTGAGAGTCATTAATCAAATGATCCGGCGGGGCGGGGCTATGGGGGGCGGGGCGTCATCATGGCTCCGCCCCCGCCCCGTCCCGGTTCGCCCCCAGGCGTGACTACTGGCGCTGCACGTCGAGCGTCCGCGGTGCTGAAGGCGGGTGGGGCTGCTTTGCGAGTTACCTCGCCTCGCCGCGAGCTTTCCGTCATGGGTCCGGCCTGAGCGCTGCCGCATCCCAGGCAGGCGCCGGGCTGAGGCGGGAACCCTGCCGTTTTGCCGAGCGTGACTTTTAGTTTTCTGAGGAAATGTGGAGTGTGCCGCTGTGAAGCGCTAACCTATTATTCTACCACGAAGGTAAATGTTTCCTGCCGCCCTGATTGAAGCAGTAGTCCCTCCGGCTCGGTCCTCGGTGATCAGCTCATAGCCGCTCGGAGATAGTGCGCCGACGTTGAAAGCTGAAGTTCCCCAAACCAGAGTAATCGGCTCTGGGATCGCGGTCGCTTCTCCCCTGGGGGCGCGGACCGTTGCCCTAGTCTCGGTCGCACAGGCGGGGCCCCGCTTTGTGTCGTTTTTTGGACCTAAAATTCGTCCTGGCCCCGCCCCCCTTCAGGGAACTCTCCTGGGCTGTCCTGCACTTGGGGACCCACGGGAAGCGTGGCTTGGAAGCTGTGCGGTGAGGCTTCTGTCCGAGGCTCTTAGAGAACTAACGGGGGCCTCGGCGCCGGGAAACGCTGGACCCGGGACGCCCCCAACCCTGTGGCTGCCCCGGGCCCGGGACCCAGGGCCTTCAGAGGTGAAGTCCCAGCGGGCGCACGATAGTTTCTAGAACGTAGTGTGTCCTTGAAATAAGGCCCTCAATTCGAAGAGCAGGACATTTAAAAATCTTTGGAGTCAAGACAGGATATCAAATTTAAAATATCATTGATGAAATTGATCTTGTATATGCGATGTAATTTCTATACAATTGGAACTATTAAGTAGTACGTAGTGATGGTGATACTTGCATTTTAATCTATCATTCCACACTTCAAGTATATTAGTGGATCAGAATAATCATCATCTTGAGTTTCCGTTCAATAACTGTAATTAGATTTACTCTTTAGAAAGGAATGGGCCAAAATACCATTGACTCAAGAAAGGATTACTTTCTTTTGATGAATGAGGAAGCACATCTTTATTTTCTCAGTAAATTGTAATGAAGCATAAAGCAATTGAAAAGCAATGCTTCAGATGCCATAAAGAAGCAAATCAAACTGCTTAAAGGCTTTTTATATAGTGAGGTACCCTAGGGCTACAAACTACAAAAGATGATATTGCCTAGTAGTATAAAAGTAAAAACACACACACACACACACAAATGTTTCAGATCACTTAAGGCTGAATTTACTTTTTTTTTCCTTTTACTTTTGAGTTACGAAGAAGGTGAAGTTTGGGTATGTCACTTTTTTGTCTGCAAGCTTTCAGATTCCTTCAAAGAGAGATTCCTGTATTCATAGAGAAAAAAGACAGGAATATTTCAAAAATGAAAGTTCTCCAAAATGGCAACAAACATATAGACTCTAGGATACAACAATAGTAGAGGCTAATGCTTAGTCACCCAACTGTGTGAATCTTTTTAAAAGAAGCAGAAAGATTCCTCCTCCCCCCCAACCCCAGTATAGAAGAATGTGGAAAATCTGTGTGTTGGGAGAAGTGTGGAAATAAGAATTTTGGAGGGAAGATGGGCTGGGCTAGGGTGAGGCAAAGATGGAGGGTTTCTTATCTTTTGCACCCTTGTCATCTCACAGGCCTCACGCTAGCCTAGCCTGCTAAAGTCTCCTGTTAAGTGGAGGAGGTGGGGTGGAGGTGGGGGCTTCAGGCAAGCTCTTCACTGATAACAGAGGCTGGAAAGTGGACCTCTGTGTTGCCTGATAGGTTCAAAAGAAAAGACTGGTGACACAATACCAACCACTGTGGGCCATCTTGTCTTACCTGCTGCCACTCTAAGCAGCCTCTCGAAATCCTTTCATGATTCTAGAGTAGTCCTATGTCCGGCAAGAAGCCATTATTTGCCAGTAAGTTAAAAATAGCAGATGAAAATCTTCACATTTTCAACATTACATACGTTACTAACAGGTACTTTATTTAACAATATGTGCAAAGTGCTTTACAAAAAAACACTTTATTTTCTCATTTAGTCTACAAAAACCCTTTGAGGATTTTACATTTTATGGTTGAGAAAATAAGAGTAAGCAGGATTAAGTAATTTGTCAAGGTCACACAGCTAGCAAGTGGCAGAGACAGGGTCTGAGCCTGGCCGACTGATCCTAATTCCTTGTGCTTTTTACCATACCTAGTCTATTTAATATTTGTAGAGTTCTTCATAATTTGCAAAACATATTTGTACCTATCATTGCAATAAGGGATATATTTTAACTTGGCTCCCTATTAACAATTCAAACATTCTTTTCATAGTATAGTATATTCTTTGGAGTTCTTGTGTAGTCTTGCAGAAAGTAGATGGCTTTAGAGTGCTATAGATTTTATTTCATGGGGTATGGTGTAGATCTTAAAATTATATGTCTTTCTCTAAATATATCAATTTGTCCTTAACTTACTATCTTTGTGATGTAAAATGATCACACATATCAGTGGAGAAAATACATTGTTTTATATACATATATAGTATAATAAAACATAAGTTTTATATAATTGGTGCTTTTTTTCACCTTTCAACTCTTTCCCTTATTGTTAAGTTAAGGTATGATATACATTAAATTCATTCTTTTGAGTCTATAGTTCAGCAAGTTTTGATAAAAACTACCACAGTAAAGATATGCAGCATTTCATCACCCCACCCTTCCATTCCTTTGTGACTTTGTGCATTCTACTCCCAGGCCTTGGCAACTACTGATCTGTTTTCTGTCCCTATAGTTTCACCTTTGCCAGATCTTCATAGAATTATACAGTGTGTGCTCTTTTAAGTTGGCTTCTTTTAAAAATTTTTCTAAGTTTAAAAAAAATTTTTTTTAATTAAAAAAAATTTTTTTGAACTTTTTTTAAGTTGGCTTCTTTAGCTTAGCATGGTGCTTCAAGATCTGTCCATGTTGTTTTGTGTATCACTAGTTCATTCCTTTTTAATGCTGAGTAGTATTCTATTTCGTGGATATACCACAGTTTATTTATCCATTCCCTAGTGTCAGACCTTTGGGTCGTTTTGTTTTTGGTGATTATGAATAAGCCTCTATACATGTTTGGGTATAGATTTTTCTGTGCATATAGGTTTACATTTCACTTGGAAAAATACCTGGGATTAACAGTGAGACTATTAGATACATTAAGTACATGTTTAACTTTATAAAAGCATGTCAGACTGTTTTCCAAAGTGGCTGTACTATTTTTGCATTCCCACCAGCAGTGCATAGGAGTTCCAGTTGTTCCTTATCTTTGCTAGCATTACCAGATTCTTTTTCTTTTCATCCATTATATATTTTTTAAGAAAAATTAAGCCAATATTTTAAAATCCATTGATTTCTTAATCTAGATATCTTGGTTGCCAGTTAATCTGATTTGTCAAGTTTAAGAACTTGAGAAAGCTCTGCCTGGCTGCAGTTTTGGAGCAGAGTAGCTTTTGTTTTTTGTTTGTTTGCTTTGTTTTGTTTTGTTTGTTTGTTTGTTGCTTTGGCGAGTGGAGATGAGCTCAGACTCCATATCCTTTTTCCTTCACCTCAATCACATTCTCCCTGCTTCCCTCACTTAATTTACCTGAAGGCGTTTTTGAGACCCCTTGCAGAGTAGTTGAGAGCTTGGCTTTTAGAGTCAGTGACCTGAATTCAAGTTTTAGCTCTGCCTCATGGCAGTTGTGTGACTTTGGGCCCCGCTCTGACTGAGCCTCTCCAATGCTTCTTTTCCCTGGTTATAAAATAAGTCTGATCATATTCTTATCTGAGAGGGTTCTGCTGTTTTTAAAATTTGGAGTAGTGAATATTCAGGTATCAAAGTAGACATTTTAAAATGGGAAATAACATAATTCTTAAAAAATTAGATTTTACATAACTCTTGTTCACAGAGTAAGCCATTGACAGAGTTGAGACTAGAAGCCACAAAACCTAGCTTAGATTTTTCTAAAAAAACAAAAAACAAAAACAAAAACAACCCAAACTTTGTTGCTTACCATGATTGCTTTTTTTAAAGGAGGGGTGTCCTAATTTCAGAAGGGTTCCTTGAGAACTAACTACAAATCAATGTCTTAATATTATACCTACATTATTGGTACATAAAAGTTTATTTAACATATAAAATGAATTAGACTGAGGTTAGGTTTAACACAGCATAATTAAAGGCATTTAGAGCTTTGTGGATGAATTTATATAAGATCATCCCAGAGTTTTGTAACTAAAAATATTACCTAAGTTTTAAAAACTCTTGAGGGACATAGAAGATCTGTTGTTACAAGTTGTTACAAGTGTTCAAACATAACCTTAGCAGTGGTGAAAGCAAGTTATTTTTACTGTTTTTAAAAACAGTTCATTTTTAACTCAAAGAAACCTAATACTTCCATATTCTAACTAAAGATAGTAGGTATTTTATAAATAGTTAAATAATGTACAGTGAACATTTCCCAGTGAATTATGGGTCCCAGAGATTCACATTCCTTAAAAGTATCTGAAACTAAGGGCATTCTAGCCCACTATGCAGTTATTTTTACAGTAACACAAGAGAGGAATTGACTCTATGGACATGGTTTAGGCTTGAAAGATAAACAATCAAGTAACAATTTGCTTTCTTCAATGTACAGTGCTCTGCAGTATTCTCAGTGAATCTTATTTACAATATGTAAATGCATTTAATGTATATTTAAAAATTACTAAGTCTTAAGCACCTCCTAGCATATTTGAAAAGAGAGGAAACATCTGTCAGAAGTATTTACTGTGACAAACACAGAAAGAAGCAATCATGTGTACACTTTTTAGTACCATAAATTATTTTTAATTGAACAGTGAAGGCATTTGTTTAGAATCAGCTGTTAAATAAAAAATAGTTTTGAACTAATCTTTAATTAAAATGTACATTGGTAGTATCAAGTTCAGTTTGAGGGTCAAAAACAACGTCAATGAGTCTGACTTTTTCCTCCCTGTAGGGAAAGCAGGCTTGTGTAAATATACATGAGCACAGACTGCACGCATTTATAAAGGAGGTAAAAAACATTCCCCTGTCATTGGACAGATGTTGCTTCCCTGTGTTCACATAGGATACGGGCACAGCTCCTAATGTGTAGAACCTTAAAGAAATATGGGGCACATACTTTTATCATTTTGGAAGAAGACTCTTAAGTTCTTTTATACTGCTGAGCATTAAATGTAGACTATAGGGGACATGTCTATTGACGCTAGCTCATTTTCCCCTTAAAGTAATTAAGGGGAGGAGTTGCTTTAATCAACTTTTTAGATTTTTAGAATTTATTCTTTGTGGGTTTTTTTCAAGATTTATTTATTTGAGAGAGAGAGAGGGTGCGCGCGTGTGCACACAGGATGGGGCAGATGGAAAGGAAGAGAGTCTTAAGGAAACTCTGTGCTCAGTGCAATGCTGGTCGAGGGACTTGATCTCACAATCCTGAGATCATGACCTTGAGACCACGAACTGAGCCAAAATTAAGGATCAGAAGCTTAACCAACTGCACTACCCAGGCATCCTGAGGATTTTTTTTTAATGCTTTAGTGACCATCTATTCTCATTTTCTCTTAGCTTTATGCTAAATTAATAAAATATTAGTGATAAGCACACTCTAAAAATCTATATCAAGAACTTGATGAAATTCCATATTGGTCACCTTTTCTTAAAGAGAAGTAGAACTGATATTCCCATTTGGTAAGATTTTAATCTTTTATGATACCAAAATATTTTGGCATGCCTTCAGTAAAAATGTTACCAGAAGATATAAGAAACTCTAAAAATATTTATGTAATATTTTTTCACATTATAAAACTGAAGACTTGGATTGAACATAATTGACTTCACTGACAGTGACAAAAGCCGGACATTCTTTATTTCCTTCTCACAGGAACCTCTATTCTGCTGCCTTCTTTGAGAGCATCCTGTCTTTGCAGTACATAGTAGTCAGAGATGCACTTAGCTCTGTATTTAGTGTTCCTAGCTAGGAAAATGAGGATAAAATGTATTTGCTGTTGTGTCAGTGCAATCCTAGTAATTAGAGCTTTGCTCGGGGCTATAGAATATGCCGTATATGCCACAGTTCACAACTGATCTAACAGTAGTGTGTGGTGATGTATAGAATTTACCAACTGTTTTCTGAGTCTGTGTTCATTTTTTATTGTTTTTTTTTTCCACCTTGGTGACATATTAGCAAAATCTTTCAAGATGCTTGGCAAAGAAATGAAACTGAAGAACACTGTTGTGGAAATGACACTAATTATGTAAATCTTTTAAGAAACTAACAGGGTGATCTATGGACAGAGTGGCTTAGGTTTTGATGGTAATGGCAACAGACATTTGCATGTAAAGTTTGCAAATAAAGCAGTAAAGCAAACTCTCATACAGCTTTTGTTTTTTGTTTGTTTGCTTTGTTTTGTTTTGTTTGTTTGTTTGTTGCTTTGGCGAGTGGAGATGAGCTCAGACTCCATATCCTTTTTCCTCTCCCTAAATAAAGCATTTTCCAAACTCACAGGACCCTTTCTCCCTTATGCCTCTGTCCCAGCAAGCCTAAGCCACTCTTCAGGGAATGGAGGTAGGACAGTACACCAGTGTTGTTCATGGGTCTTCTTTAGGTTAGCTAAATTAAAGAATGCTAAGTCCTGTCCCTTGATTGGACTCAGCAAAGAGGGCCTTCAGCAGGCAGTTCTGGAAAAAGGAAATCTATTCTACAGTATGTACACTGGCTCTGATTACTTTCTCAATGAAACATGCTCTTGCCCCCTTCATTATATTGTAATGACTACTGTGATATGATTAGAAAGATCAATAGAGCAATCATATTGATTATAAATGAGAAAAACTTGAATGAATAAATTATAGGATGTATTAGAATCTGGTTTATAATGCTCATAGCATTTATCACACTCCACAGTAATTGTATGACATTTAACTCTCCAACCAGCTTGTTATAAGACCTTTGAGATCAGGACTATCTCATTTGAGTTTTTATATTCATATTGCCCAGCCTATAGCAGGTGCCTATTCATTTTGTGAATAAATGAACTTATTTTCTGGTATGATTTACCTTTATATTGAAGCAATACCATTTTTTATTTTTTATTTTTATTTTTTAAAAGATTTTATTTATTTATTTGAGAGAGAACACAAGTAAGCAGAGAGGCAGGCAGAGAGAGAAGAGAGAGAGAAGCAGGCTCTGCACTTAGCAGAGAGCTCGATGCGGGGCTCGATTCCAGGACCCTGGGATCATGACCTGAGCCTAAGGCAGAGGCTTTAACCCACTGAGCCACCCAGGCGCCCCAGAAGCAATACCATTTTTTAAAACTAAGAAAACATTTTTCTCCTTATGAAGAAACTTAGGTCTGATTCATATGGAGCTACATTATGCATATACTCAAGGTTTAGAATAGTGACTCTTCAACTATTTTTTTAGATTACAAACCCCTTTGAGAATCTAATGAAGCTTCTCCTTCAGGGACATCAGATTAAGAACTTTTGGTCTGGAGAAGTGGTGAAAGCAGCCTACCTCTGTAATACTCTGGATTGCCCCTCCTTTCTGCCACTAGTTACCCTTGGCATAGCCTTCTGTTCACTAGTGGACCACCCGTCAACTAGGCCTCAGGCTCCTTTGGTATGATCCCTGCTCATTCAGACACATTTATTTGCTTCTGGGATTGTCCTGAGTCACTTGCCCTACATCAATGATTATATCCAATCTGTGACTCCTAGCTCTTCTTGAACTAGTACTAGTACTACCACAACTGTGTGGTTATTTGGATAGACCAAAAATGAACTTTTTTTGGGCAGGGGGCAGGTGATTGATCAAGAATTGAGACTCAAGAATAAGATAGTTAGAGGGCCTCTCTTCCTCTGTGTTGTTGACAGGATGTCCCATCTTCCCAAAAAAGAAAGATCACACAAATACTTGAAAGAATCTACCCCATATCTTCAATAATTTTAAGATTATATTCTTGGGAGCTTTGTGTGGATGCATTTCCATTTGGAAGGTATCTCTGTATATCAGAGAAAAAGTCTAATTTTGGCTTACGCACCTGTGGGTAATAAATAGGAACTATGTGATGCATTGTTCCAAATTTACTTGTAGTGTACAAAGAGTTTAAAGGTTCTGCTTTGAAACTAATAACTAAATTGTAATTTAGTCCTATGTCCTATGATAGCATTAGATTATCCAAAGTTATAATTTATCAAATGGAATTAAAGTTAAATAGATCCAAAATAAGACCAATTAAAAACTCAATATCCCAGATAAAATATCATAGACTTGCATACATAAAAACTTATCCAGGAATGTTTATGGTCAGCTTTTATAGCCAAAATGGGTACACCAACATTAATATAAATATTAACTGCATATTAACTGCCCTTGCATCCTGCTGTTCTGAGTTTAGTTTTTCAGAGTGTTTAACCTTTAGGGAATAGATTAGTTACAAATAGTTTTTGGAGTGTGTTCATACCTTTATTTTGGCACGTAACATTCTACATCATTTACCTATTGACAAATCCTCCTCCCTTTCCAGCAGTTATTTCCTTTTAAGTGGGGACTATTTTATTCACCTCTAAGTCCAGGGTCTAGCATAGTTCTGTGTATATCCAAGGTGCCCAATAAGTATTTATTAAATGAATAAATGAATATTTCCATAGAAGCACTATGTAAGTATATGCTAAAAGATATGCATATATTTTGGATTTTGTTAAAGTGTTTGATTTTGTTTCCAAATTTGAGTTACATAGTTATTGGCTATATTTAAGACAAGATTTTTTATCATAAGATCCTTGAAGTCTGAAGTTATAATCCCTATAATCTTGTCATAATCCCCGATATAGAGATCCAAATTTATAAGGCTATCAAAAATATGTAAAAGGTCAGGAAGTATAGAAATTACTATCTTCCTGAGAATTCCTGTTCACTTATAATGGATTTGGTTGGATAAGGGTGTCTTTAAAGTTTCATCTTAGTTCTTCTAAAGACCTGAAGGTATATTGTAGATTTTAAAAATACATATCTTCTAGACTTTAATTCATGCTTTCCATTTCTTTTGAGAAATAATAACAGAGCCTTAGTATAAAGACCACAGTGTTAAGTTGTTGGCAACAGACCTAAGGATAGAGTTATCGTGTGCTACATACATGTATCCACAGATGTCACTGATGTTAAGCCTGAAAGGCTCAGAACTGTGTCATTGTGTTTGGATGAAAATGGCAAACTTGTAGGAGGCGAGAGAGGATATCTACAAGTGGCCAAGGGAGAATAACTACTTCTGAAGAAAATTCAGATAATTTTCTCTTGCAGCTAATCAATTTTCAATTTCAATTGTATTTTCATTGACCTTAGAGTTTATTTTTCAATATAGTAAATCATATAATCTATTAGAATACTTAAGTTTTTTATATTATCCAATTTTCTCTGTAGTTCCTTTTTATTTATTAAAAGTATTTGTTTATAATATTACATATTTACTCATCTGAAGATTTTCCTAAATTCCCACCAATCTGAAGTGAATTTCAAAGTAGAGGAGACATCATTGTCTTTATATCCAAGCACAATTCAGCCAGTCATTGCTAGAGCAGTCACTAGAAACCAAAGCTGTTTGATAAAGTTAAATACTTTTGATTAATCACTGCTATCTTTGTGACCTTAGACAAGTTATTTCATCTTTCTAAAACTCAGCTTTCTCATCTAAAAAAATGGATATAATAATTATCTTTGCCATAGGTTATAATGATTAAATGCAGTGATATTTATAGATATCTGAGATGTTTAGCACAGTAAAAATTACCTCTTCCCTTACCCCTTCTTCTTTGTCTCCTTAGACCAGAGTGCTTTCTATTTTAAATTATTAATGATCATTATAATACCAAGTATAGGAAGGTATGAAATGATACTTCTGTACTATGTAACATTCTATACGGCTTTTAAAAATTTACATTAAGAACATTTTAAAATTAAAATTATTTTTTTAAAGTTTTTTTTTTTTATTTGTTTGACAGACAGAGCTCCTTGCCTTTTTACCTTTGCTTCTCCTTACCTCAACCTCCTTATTCTAGAGTGGCAGAGCTCCTAGGATATGGTATCCATGCATGAAGCCTCACTACACTATTAGAGCTTCCCTTTCCCTATTCTCTTGGCCTAACACCTTTCTACAAACCCATCCCATTAGCTGTGAAATAGGAGGACCATTAGCATTCAGACACTTCATGGAACAGAGGAATAGGTTCATTCCAATGTTGTAGACTATAGAATTTGTGAAGAATGAATTCTAGGATGCTCACAAGTATGATAAAGATAATTGTTACCTGTTATACTTGGCTGCATTTAGTTGCATAAGTTAAGCAAGGGAAGTTGACCTGTCCTTTGTATTGTAATCTTAAGCATAACATGAACAAAATGGTCAAGTGTTAGGGCATGTACATAAAAAAGGGGGGTTGCCTAGGTTAAGTGGGTTAAGTGGGTTAAGCCTCTGCCTTCAGCTCAGGTCAAGATCTCAGAGTCTTGGGATCGAGCCCCGCATCAGGCTCTCTGCTCAGCAGGGAGCCTGCTCCCCCCACCACCCTCTCTGCCTGCCTCTCTGCCTACTTGTGATCTCTCTCTCTTTCTGTCAAATAAATAAATTTTTTTAAAAAGAGGGGGACAGGTTACAGAGTATAGGTCACAGATGTGGTTGTCATACATTTTTATTTTGATGGAAACTGAGATTTTTGCACTGCTGCTAAACACACATAATGTTTAGTGTGTGACTTAGGTTTCACAGTTTACATAGCTGATTGTTTCACCATTTGCATAATTAATATCATGCACTTTTGTCAGATATAAGATTATACATTTTCCTCTACCCCATGGCTCTGTTTTCATAGCTGACACAGTCAAACTCAATATGAACCAAACATAGTTTTGTTAACAGTAGCTATCATTTTCATATGTAAACATTATAGGTAAAATTTCCTAGGAATTGTAAATAAGTTTAAAAAAAAACCCCAAATCTTAAACAAAAAAATCTAAACAAAAGCCTCTTATTTCTTGGCATTTGTTGTTGTTGTTGTTGTTGTTGACTAGAATAGTCTCTCCTTTAGTAGAAGTGATTAACTAATGAATGACAGCTTGCTTACTTAGTATGAGTTACTTGCATCCTTTGTTTTACTGTTCCTTTTCTTGCTGATTTTCTTGGCATCTTTGGATGCTTTCCAATTTATTAGGAATTGTCTTTCCATATTCTTAATTTCTTTGCCATCGAGAAATTCTAGAGAAAAAATAAATGTGTTAAAAAATACTATATATATATTTCTGGTTTAAGGCACCTGAACTTAAATTACACCAGAGGCTGAAATAAATATCTTATAAAAATATCCTATTTCTACAACTTATTTGTTTTTGTTAAGCTTTTACTTATTTTTAATTATTTTTTTCTGATTTCAAAGAGGATGTATGCTTATTATAAACAACTGAAACATGGTGAAAAAAACATAAAAAGACTCTGTAATTACTATCCATGACTCTCAACTATCACCAACAAAGATAATCATTGTAAACAATTTGATATATGGTTTCCTTTCTAGGGCCACATGTAAATTTTAATTTTTAAAAATAAGAATGTCATATTCAATAAAATTTAGATATTACCTATTCATTTCCATACTATGGTTATTATTCTTGAGAAAAAGCAAAACATATTTTATGTCAAGATGAACAAGAAATTTTGTACATTTTGCATGGTATTTTAAAAGCACATACATTAATAATGCTTATTATATCCCAGGCTTAACCAGCTGAGCCACCCAGGCGCTGCTATTACTTCCTAGGACATAAGATATGATAGGGACAACCCATAAAACTGGCCTCTTGGTTCTATGAAGATTTTAGCTATGTTTACGTTGTGTTCCTCTGAAAGAGTTTTAAAAAGTTGAGCATCTTAAATTACACAAAATTTAAATTTTATATACTGTAAGATATTTGGAAAATACAAAAAAAATGAGAAAAGAAAAAAATTAATATTGCCTGTATTCTACAACAAAAATAATCACTAAAACCCACTATCAGTATATTTTTAACATTTTTTTGTTTTTTATGTATGTGTATATATTATATAAGGTTGGAATTCTCTATTTACATAGTATTACATCCTAATTTTTATTATTGTATTATAATCATTTTACCATGTCTTTCTTTAAACACAATTTTTAACGGTTGATAGTATTCCATTATATATGTATATATACTATATATACTATAAAATATCAAACTATTCCCTTATAGGACATTTTGTATTATATGTAATTACATGAATACATGTGGCCTTCATTTAATAAAAAGACTATCTCTTTCTAACAAAATTTGCTATACAGTAGTTTTTTAAGGTAATTACATATTTTTCTTTCATTATCCGTGTAATGTCTTCTACTGGATCCCAGAATGTGAAAAGGAAGTAGTAAAAATTTTTTAAATCATGTTCTTACAGGGAAAGTGACAGTATCCTGATACTGATTGCATTACTGAAAATATTTTTTTAAGATTTTATTTATTTATTTGACGCAGAGAGAGAGATCACAAGTAGGCAGAGTAGCAGGCAGAGAGAGAGGGGGAAGCAGGCTCCCTGCTGAGCAGAGTCCAGTCCGGGGCTCGATCCCATGACCCTGAGACCACGACCTGAGCCGAAGGCAGAGGCTTAACCCACTCAACCACCCAGGTGCCCTGCACTACTGAAAATATTAACAATGCTACTTAAATATGATCCATAATATTGTTAGACCCTAAGTACAAAATAAAGTGATGAAACTGGAAATATAAACTAGAACCATAAACTCCAGAAGTATAATTGTTTCCATATATTGTCCCATGTACTTATTGTAACTGAAATTGGTACTCTCCAAATTATAATGTAAGAAATTGGCTAAATATTCTATTATCAAACATCTTTGTACTTAAAATTTTATATTAAAGGTCATTATTTTATGCTTACTTTTCCCAACCACTTGGATTTATTGCTATCTTTCCAGATTTGTTTTTATTAGTAATTGTATAATTTGTTAGTGTATTTTTGGGTGTTATATGTGTAAACCAATACGTATTTTTAAAATATCTGTTATAGAGCTAAGGAATGAAAATCCAAATCTCTTACCATGATCCCTTTTTCCTCATGTTTATGATGCAGACAGAGCTGAGAAATGACTAGGAGACTGTGCCTTAGTTAGCCTGATTTCTTCTTTTAGAAAATAATCATGTAGAGGTGGTTCAGGAAGGGAAGCCAGGTAATGGACATAAGATCAAAGACCTCTGAGATTTGTTTTAATGAGTTGTTGTTGTTTTTTTTTATAAAGATTTTTATTTATTCATTTGACAGAGAGAGATCACAAGTAGGCAGAGAAGAAGGCAGAGAGAGAGAAGGGGGAAGCAGGCTCCCCACTGAGCAGAGAGCCCGATGCCGGACTCAATCCCAGGACCCTGAGAGATCATGACCTGAGCTGAAGGCAGAGGCTTTAACCCACTGAGCCACCCAGGTGCTTTTTAATTAAAATTATTAACTTTTTAATTTTAATTCCAACTAGTTAGCACATGGTGTTAGATTAATTCTAAGTGTACAATGTAATGATTCAACAATTGTATATATTACTCAGTGCTCATCATGATAAGTACATTCTTTAATCCCTTTCACTTATTTCACCCATCCCTCCACCCATCTCCTTTCTGGTAACCATCAGTTTCTTCTCTGTAGTTAAGTGTTTGTGTTTTGGTTTGTTTCTCTCTCTCTCTCTCTTTTTTTCCCCCTCTTGCTTATTTGTTTTGTTTTTTTAATTCCACATATGAGTGAAGTGATATGGTATTTGCTTTCTCAAACTGACTTATTTTGCTTAGCGTTACACCCTCGAGCTCCATCCATGTTGTTGCAAATGGCAAAAGTTCATTCTTTTTTGTGGCTGAATAATATTCCATTGTATATATGTACCACATCTTCTTTATCCATTCATCTATCAGTGGACACTTGGGCTACTTTAATAATATGGCTATTGTAGATAATGCTGCAATAAACATAAGGGTGTATGTATTCCTTTGAATTAGTTTTTGTGTATTTTGGGGTAATACCCAGAAGTGTGATTACTGGATCATAGTTATTTTTCTAACTTTTTAATGAACTTCCAGATGGTATTCCACAGTGGCTGCCCCATTTGCTTTTCTACCAATAGTGCACGAGGGTTCTTTTTTCTCTACATCTCTGCCAACACTTGTTGTTTCTTGGGGTTTTTTTGTTTTTTGTTTTGTTTTTTGTTTTTAGCCATTCTGATAGGTGTGAGGTGATATCTTATTATAGGTCTGATTCATATTTCCCTGGTGATGAGCGACGTTGAGCATCTTTCATGTGTCTATTGACCATCTGTATGTCTTCTCTGGAGGAATGTCTGTTCATGTCTTCTGCCCACTTTTTAATTGGATTATTTGTGGGTTTTTTGGTCTTGAATTGTATAAGTTCCTTATATATTTTGGATACTAATCCTTTTTTGGATATGTCATTTGCAAATATCTTCTCCTACTCAGTAGATTGTCTTTTAGTTTGTTTCCTTTGTTGTGCAGAAGCTTTTTTTAAATATATGTAGTAGGAACATTTAACATGAGATCTACTTTGTAAACAAATTCTTAAGTGTACAATACATTATTTTTGACTATAGGTACAACTTTGTACAGTAGACCTCTAGAGATTATTCATGTAGCTTCACTGAAACTTCATACCCACTTACTAGTAACTCCCCATTTACTCCTTCCCCCAGCCTCTAGCAACTACCATTCTACTCTTTGATTCTATGAATGTGACTATTTTAGGTAGATCATATAAGTGGAATCATGCAGTATTTGAGTTTCTGTGACTGGCTTATTTTATTTAGCATAAGTCCTCAAGGTTCATTCATGTTGTCACATATTGCAGAATTTCATTCTGTTTTAAGGCTGAATAGTATTTTATTGTATATGTATCTGCCATGTTATCTTTATCCATTCATCTGTCAATGGATAGTTAGGTTGTTTCTACATCTTGGCAATTGTGACCAGTGCTGCAGTGAACACAGAAGTGCTAATATCTCTTCAAAACCTTAATTTCAGTTCTTTTGAATGAATATACAGAACTGGGATTGCTAGATCATATAGTAGTTTTATTCTTAAATTCTGATGCACCGTCATACTGTTTTTCAAAGTGGCTGCACCATTTTGCATCCCCACCAGTACTGTACAAGGTTCAAATTTCTCTACATCCTCACCAACTCTTGTTGTCTTTTGGTTTTTTGATAACAGCCATCTGACAGGTATGTGGTGATACCTCACTGTGGTTTTGATTTGCATTTCCCTGTTGATTAATGATATTAAGCATTTTAAAAATATACCTTTTGGCCATTTGTAGGTCTTTGGAGATGTGCCTTTTTAAATCCCTAGCCCATTTTAAAATCTAGTTATTAGATTTTGCTGTTGAGTTGTAGGAGTTCTGTATATGTTTTGGAGCTTAACCTCATATCAGATGTATAGTTTGCAAATATTTTCTCCCATTCTGTAGGTTGTCTTTTTACTCTGTTGACTATTTTCTTTACTGTGCATGAGCTTTTTAGTTTGATGTAGTATACTTGTTTGTTTTTATTTTTGTTGCCTGTGTTTTTTGGTGTCATGTCCATGAAATCACTGCCAAGACCAATAGCATGAAGGTTTCTCCTGTGTTATAGTTTCAGGTCTTCTGTTTAAGTCTATAATCTATTTTGAGTGGATTTCTTTTGCATGTGGATATCCAGTTGTCCCAAAAACATTTGACTGTCCTTTCCCTACTGTGCATTCTTGGTGCCCTTGTTGAAAATCATTTGACCATTTATGAATGGATTTATTTTTGAGCTTTCTATCCTATTCTGTTTGCATATCTGTCTTACGCCAGTACTATACTGTTTTGATTGTTGTATTTTGTCATATACTTTGAAATCAGGAAGTGTGATGCCTTGGTTGATTTGGCTATTTGTGGTCTTTTGTGGTTGCATATGAATTTTTGTGAAATTTTGTGAAATTTTCAATTCTGTGATAACACCACTAGGATTTTGATAGTGATTGTACTGAATTTGTTGATTGCTTTAGGTATTATGGAAATTTTAACAACATTAAATTTTCTAGTTCATGAACATAAGATGTCTTTCCATTCATTTGTTAATTTCTTTCATTAGTGTCCTGTGGTTTTCAGTATACAATTCTTTTTTTTCTTACCTTACTAGTTAAATTTATTTTTAGGTATTTTACTTTTTTTTTTTAAGATTTTATTTATTTATTTGACAGAGGTTTTAAGTTGGCAGAGAGGCAGGCAGAGAGAGAGGAGGAAGCAGGCTCCCTGCTGAGCAGAGAGCCTGATGTGGGGCTCGATCCCAGGACCCTGAGATCATGACCCGAGCTGAAAGCAGAGGCTTTAACCCACTGAGCCACCCAGGTGCCCTGGTATTTTACTTTTTTGTGCTATTGTTTTCTTAATTCACTTTTCCGATGGTTCGTTGTTACTGTGTCAATATGGCTTTAAAGATTGCTTTTGGTAATTGTTAATGGTCACACTAGATTATGAAGAAATTAATAAGGATTTTATTGAGAAAATCAACTGACAGTGTAATTTTTTTAATTATAAACTTTAAGGCACATTTTATTGTTTTGTAGAATTTCATTGGAGAAGTTAAAAATAAATTAACTTGTCTCTGAAGGAGAAAGAACTTTTAAAATATATTAAGGTGAAAGAGATTATGTTTAGAATAGGTTCAGTTTTTGGGTGAGGGCTGATGTTGAATTTTATGAACACTTCAATATTAATAAGGTATTTTGGTATCCTTGCTATAATACTGCAAATATGCAAAATACTGGAATCCTTACCCTTTAAAGGTTCTACCTTTTTAAAAATCCTTACCTTTTTAAATCTTTACCTTTTTAAAGGTTCTACCTGGTTCTACCCTTTAAAGCCAGCAAGGCATAAATAGAGGAAAAGAAATGCTGCCTGTTCACTTTATAGATTTCAGATCTTGAAAAATTCACATTGCCCACACAGCATCATCATTTGTGGGTATACTGCCAGTTCAGAAAGTCCCATTCTTTTAAAGGATTTCCAACAATTCATATTAATGCATCTCTTAATGAGTTGTTCTTAACACAAAATTTGTTTTCACTCAGGCTAAGTAAACCAAATGTTTTATTTCTCAATTTTAAATTTGCTTTTACTTAAAATATTGAACTTAATATTGTACTTTCATAGATTCAGATATCATATTTATATTTTTCAAGGCTTGATATTAAATTAACTAAAAAGTTAACCAGTTCTCTTTCTCTAGGAAAATTATATTAATATTGTATAAATGTATACCCAGTGATTTGGACACCAGTATCAGTCTGTCTCTGTATTTAGGTTTGAGACAAACAGGATTTCCATTTAGATCCATTCTCCACAGCTTCATCAACTTGTTCAGTAAAAATTCCAAATCCTATAATTAGAGAAGGAAAAGCAAGACATAAGTATTTCATAATCATCAATATTTCTTTCATACCAGTTAACTGTTTTTAAAGGTAATTACTGCTCTTCCAGCTAATTACTGTTTTTCTAGGTAGTTAGAAGGTGTACCATAAATCTTTTTTGAATAAAATGATCTATACTACTAATTGATGTTGTGTACATCTAGGGGAATAACTTTTCTTTAGAATAAGGTGGTGAGAATTACAAAGCTAATGAAAATTCTGAAGAACAGCAACAGGCAAGCACCTATGATTCTTCCATTTGTTCTCCTCAAGCCAAGACCAAAATTATAGGATATAAAGGAAAATTTTAGGAAATATAAAGTATAGATTAATTCATACATGTTCTTAATTGCAAAGCTGAAAGTAATTGGCAGTGCATTGCTTGGTATTTTTTTTCCTGGTATCATTTCTTCACCTTCAAAGCTTAATATCTACTTAACTTATTTGTACCTTCTGTCTCATTCTTTGCTTGATCCATGTTTCTTGTTACTTAGATATTTCATTTTTCCATTTTTGGAAAACTTTTTTTTGATAAGACTGCATTTATTCTTTAGATTTCAGAAAATAATTTTTTTGTGTTTACTTTTGGCTTTTAGAGGGGGAGGGGAGGAGGGAGAGAGAGAGAGAGAGAAAGAGAATCTTAAGCAGTCTCCATACCTAGTGCAGAGCTCAGTGCCGGACTTGATCTCACAACCCTGAGTTTATGACCTGAGCCTAAAGTCAAGAGTTGGACACTTAATCGACTGAGCCACCTAGGTGTAGGCACCCCAGAAAATATTTATTTATTTATTTATTTATTTATTTATTTTACTATGAGTGCTGACAACAGTTTCCTTCCACATACTAAAAATCCCCACAAGAAGCACCTAGCTGGCTCAGTTAGTGGAGCATATGACTCTTGATCTCAGGGGCGTGAGTTCAAGCCCCATGTTGGATGTAGAACTTACATGGGGAAAAAAAAAATCCCCACAGAACTCTTCCATATCATGGAAGTAACAAATTTGGAACATCCAGGAATATGCCTCTATCTACATGAAGGAATGGTATTTTAGGGGAATAATTACAAGGACCGCTGGGTGGGTATCTTGTATCCACTGCAGAGCACCTGGTAGTTCTCTTCATTTTTTTGAGACCAATGTCTTCTTATATAAAATGGTAAAAAATTTTCCAGTTCTACCTACTTCATTATTCAACAAAATACATATTGAATCATGGGCTAAGTTCTGTACTAGACTCTCAGATATCCAAAAAAGTAATTTGTGAAAAAAATATAGGGGTTTTAAAAAAAATAGATAAACCCAATCTTCCTGGTCCTGCTGTTTACTGTATGACCTTAGGCAAGTCTATGTTCTCACTTATAAAGTATGAAAGTTAGGATTAGTTGTCACATATAAATAAAGGGCCTGGAACAAAGCAGGTAACTAATAAATATGTTAATTTTCTTTTTGTCTGTCCTACCACCTCTTATCTAATAACCTTTCTCTTAATTTTGATCAAGAGTGTAAAAATTGTTGTTGGGAAGAATAAGCTTCTGACTCACTGAGTAGTAGTTGATTTCTTATAAGAAAGCTGTCTTCAAAAGTTGTAACTTCATCTTTCAGTCTTGAGCCCTGGATTATTTCCTCTCCACAGCATTTGTTCAACAGCATTAGATACAGCCATGATTATTTTATGTGAGAGTTTCATTTAAGTATTTCTCTTAGTCTAAGACCTCTAAGGAAAGAATTGTGCATTGGATTTTTGTAGTGTTGAATATGATGCCATCACCCAAAAGTTGAGTAATAATAATAATAAGAAAACTTAAAATGTATATAGATAAAAAGAATCCTGTAGAGTTTTGTTAATTATTCCTCAGTTGATAAATGACCCGCGACATACTCCCTCCATTGTGTGTTTATTTAAGACTAAACTAATCCTGTGCTGAAATATGATTACCCTTTGGATACGCTCTGGTAGTTCATTGCCTTCCTGTCTTTAATAAAATGCTTTTGCTTTCCGGCCCTTCAATGTTACTAAAGGGAGCGGACAGTTTTCTGGACAGTCTCTGTTTGATAAATGATCATGTCAGGCTATCACTTAGAGGAGTGCTTCAAAATACTGAGGAACTGATTCTATTTCCCATGCAGGGCTGGTGCCCAACCTCCTATGTAGGCGCCTGCAGAAACTGGCAGTGCTTGCTCTACAGTTAATGATGGCCACTGATGAACCTGTATTTGACCAGCATGCTCCAATCTTTATTGGAAATGTCTGGTCCAACTGTCCTAACTAAATCTAAAGACAGCCATTTGTCATCCCCCTGACTGCTTGTCATCATCTGCCTGGAAAAATCTATAATTTTTGGCTTGTTTCTGACTAAACTGTGGAGTGAATAAATTTATCTTTGGGTTACTCTGCTTGTCAGGATCAATATTGAGCAGAGGTTGAATAAATTAGAAACTGGAAAAACATGACAGGCCATAGTGGTTTGTTCATTTGTGTCTTATAAATCAAATATTTAGCTTAGCTGAGAGGCAGGCACATCAAATTTTTTATTTCCACCATTCATTCTGAAGATGCTTTACTTCATGATAAATGGCCATCAGAAAACCAATGAAGTAAATCACTAATATATCTGACTGAGATGAACTTTTCAGATCATTTTATTGATTTAGCAAACTTTGCAGACATAAACACTGCAGGTAAAGATTTTTTTAATATAACTTCTTTCAAATTTTTATACATTTTTGCAACCATGATGTTTATTTAATAAGTCATCAAGGTATATAATATTGGCCTTAGTGAAGTTCATGGCTCATCAACTACTTATAGAAATGGAAGTTTTATTGTAAATGGTCAGTGAAGTTTTAATATTTTAATAGATTAATGAATACTTATTTAAAGGAGTTACAGGAAAGAATGCAAAAGAGTGTTAACCAAAAGTAAATGTCATTTAAACTAGAGCCCTCTGAATTTAAACTATGGAGTATTGTTTGGCCTAAAACCTCTCTTTCTTCTCCTCAGTGGTTGACTTTGCTATCTACTGGGGAGAACTGGGTCATTGCCCACAGAGTTTTCTCAGTTTTCGGTCTTTGGTCTCACACTTCTTCCATTCCTCTTTCCTATTTTTGTCAACAAAGGAAGAGTCCCATTTTTTTTTTCTTCCAAATTAATCAGTCCTCTTGATCTTTTCCCTTCCCTAGGCCTTTTCTTCTTGGGGTATTCTTTCTCTTGCATTTACATTTCTAACCTTGCTCTCCTTTCATCCTGTCTCTTAAACCTACTATCGCTACACTTCTTGAAAGAGTAGTACAGCAGTGTTTATCAAAATTTTATGTGCTTAAGAATCACCTAGGGATCTCATTTATTAAATGCAGGTTCTGATATGTTTGGTCTGGAACAGAAGCTGAGATTTTGCATTTCTGGTGCTGATGCTGCTGGTCTTAGGACAACATTTGGAGTTACAAGGGTCTAGGCCACTGACTGTGCTTCCTCAATCACTGGGCACCCCTGCAGCCTCGTCCTCCTGAACAGGCACTGCTATCCTTATTACTGAGCCATACATTACCATCTCAGACTTTCTCAGTTTCTTTGGAGCATCTTTTCCTACTGACTGCTCTCTAATGGTATTTTTGCAGGCTCCCTGGATCCTGAATTAATCTCTGACTCTACAAGTAACGAACTTCTGACCATAGAAATCCCCAGTATATAAATAAGCTGTTCTATAAAAGTTGCTTTTGAGACTGGAGAAATCATTTCATAAAAAAGAGCTATACCAGTGGACTGTTACCTGAAATGACCCATGGAAACAACCTATTTAATTGAGAAAAAGCCCAAAGAATATCTGTGCAGCGACAATGTTATAAAGCCTCTCCAAGGACATCGTCCCTGTGGCAGATGTTCAGGGATCAATTCACTTGCTTCCTTTTCTAGAATCTACATTTATTTATTTCAAACTTGTTTTTCTTCCCTGGACCACAGCAGACTGTAAAATCATGGCTAGAAAAACAATTGTCTAATACACCATGATCTCCATTTATGTGCATACCCTTTACAGAAAAAGAATAGCCACATTGATGAAAATAGTAAAACATCTGTTACACTGAGGAAGGAAGGGCCATCTGTACATAACAGGAAGAACCATATTTTATGGGAAACTACATTGGGCATTTCACCAAATACTCTTCCTCCCATATCTAGACAATATCATTCATGATGGCCATTTAAGTGATCACATAACCAACATCTTAAAGATACCCATATTCTTCTGTCCATGGGCTCTGGCTTTATATATCCAATTGTCTATTTAATATTTTGTCTAGAAGACTACAAAGGCACCTCAAACTCTATATAACCAAAACTCATCATCTTCTCCCTCTCCACTGAACCTGATTCTTGAGTTCTCTATTTTCTGTTGTGCAAGGCAGAAGCCAGAGAATCATTCTTGACCTCTCCTTCTTCGATGCTCTGTATATCTAACTCACCACCAAGTTCTGTACACTTGATTTCCAAACAGCTCTCCAGAGCATCTACTTACTTCATCTCTACTCCAGCTCTATTCAAGTTTCTACCATCTCTCACTTCTTAACTAGTCTAGCCTCTTCCAAGCTGTTCTCCACACTGTAGCTGTGCTGGTCTTTTCAAAATGCTACTCTTTTGGGGCACCTGGGTGGCTCAGTGGGTTAAGCCTCTGCCTTTGATCTCAGGGTCCTGGGATCAAGCCCCACATCGAGCTCTCTGCTCAACAGGGAGCCTGCTTCCTCCCTCTCTCGGCCTGCCTCTCTGCTTTACTTGTGATCTCTCTGTGTCAAATAAATCATAATTTTTTTTTCTTTTTCCTTTTCTTATTCCTTCCACAGAGCTCAAAAACTTTAAGTTGCCCTGCCAGAATTTTTGTTGTGGTTATATCTTTTCCTTTTAATTTTTCTTAACTATCTTTCTCATTGCTCAAACCTGAATCTTGATTGGAAGATTTGAAGTTATTTAACTATCT